TTGCTAATAATTTCAGAAAACTATGTTCAGTCACATTTGATAAAGGATTTAACAACTATGCGGATACAAAATGAGAATTATTCTTCTCTTACATCTTACTTGAGTGAATATGTGTGTAAATTCTCTGGTCTCAACCAAAAGAGTTTAGAAACTTATTCACTGGACAGTAGTGCAACAATTTCCTTTACTTAATAGCTGATCTTTTGTTCATTGATTCAATAAACATTACTGGACATCTTCTTTAGATAAGCACCGGACAAAGCACTCAGAGGGACTCATAATATCATGGGCTATATCTGCCTGCAGTTAGAGATTGAGTAGAATAATTATTTTGTACCATAGATATATGAGAATGTGTAAATATGCCCAATGGTTGACTCACCTGCAAATTATGAGTTATGTAGAATGTATGGAGCATTAATTCATGATACCCCTGAAACATGTAAATGAATGCATTAATACATTCTCTTGACTGACTGACTAAATGATCATAGCATGCATTTTACCGTCAGTTTGCTTTCTGAATTGTCTAAGTAGAATGTAATTCTCCTGCTCAAATGAATCACAAATACCTATGTCCTGCACATTCAAAGATTACTTATGAAAACAAAGCTATAAATTCTTAGGGGTGCCTCTTTTGGTTTGGAGAAATAAAAGTAAATTTGGAGGGCAAAGAGTTTCGTAGTTGATGATTCAACCATATATCTCAGGTGGCTCTAAAGCATAAAAACCAGCAAATCGTTCAGCCACAAGTATAGTAGGATAGTTTATAATGTTTAATTGTTTCATAGTGGTAAAGCCAAAGAATTTTTATTGCATGAGGACCATAGACCTTGCATTGATTATACTCATGGCGTTATTTCTCCAGAATGCCTGTGTATTGTGCGTGCATGCTCTTGCATGACCTTTTTTCTTTATTTTATTGTGTGTCAGAACCTAGTTACCATCAGGCTCAAATAGGAAGATAGTTTTAGATGTACATGTCTGAACTACATGTAATATTTGACTTTATCATCACAATCAACAGTCTTAAAGTAGTAACCTAGAGTACATTCTATAAATATAGGAAAACTGGTCTGAATCAAACTCACTCTTTTGCACGTAATTTCAACCAGCTATGATATATTTAATACATTAACAACTATATTAGTATTTTAAAATGTGAAACAAAATGTGACAGATATGTAATGTGATTTTCCCCTTTATACTACTCCTCATTGATTATTCAGTCCACAAATATTAAGCTGCCAGCAAGTTCAAAGTCGCAGTCTTCAAGGACCTTATAGTCCATGGGAGGAAGCAGGAGTATAATCAAAAAATCCTGCCAGTGGGTCTAAATATACATAAAGTCTGTTCTCTTTTATCCATCCCCACAGTCATTCACTCCCCTACCTACCTCAGACCATCACACCTTGAAATTATTGCAACATTTTTCCTGGATTCCTTGCTTTTACCTTCTAGAATGAGTATAACAGTAATTAAGAGTGTGGTCTTTGGTGTCACATTGCATGAACTTAAAATCCTGCCTTGGTACTTTGTATATAACCTTGGGCCAGTTTTGTGATTATTTGTGTCTCAGTTAATGCATTTAATAGGGGTAATAATAATTCTGATTGCATCAATACCCTGCTTCAAATCTTCTGAGGCTGCTGTGATGAAGACCAAAATCATGAACTTGTTGTGCAGAGCCCCATGTTTCCATACCCCTGCCCACTGCCTCTGTAGGTGTATCCTAGCCCCTCTGGGTGTGCTGACTCCACCTCTCTAGTTGTCATCAGGTTTTTGTTGCAGTCTCTCTGCCTACAGTTCTCTCCCCACCCCTCTACCTTCCCTTCATGCCCGGGACTAGCTCAGCACTCCATTGTGTAAATGGTCCGAGCACTCAGGTGTTTTCCTTTTTAACATTTATCCTTGTTCGAAGTACATATTCAAATCATTGTTTATTTAAAAATCTATTTCTGCATTGGACTGCAAGAGACTTAGTATGTTTCATTTTTAGGATAGAAAAGAAAAAAATTTGAGAAACATTGTTTTTAATATTTAAAGTCATAACAATAGAGTAGAAGCTGTGCTTCAAGTGCCTTTACTTTGTTAGGACAAGTACCTTTGTCACGTACTGAAAAATTCTTGATGAGGGTTATAGCAATTTGTTTCTAGACCCTATTTTAGCAAATCTAGGGAGTTTTTAGTGTATACTTCTGATTTCAGAAAACAAGCATAATTAAAACCACTAGAATAATAAAGAAATGTCAGGGAAGAGTTAGAAAAAATAGGAAATGCTAAGGAAGAAGATTTTAAGAAGCTTTAACTTTGACAAATAATTAAAAAGCAAAATAATTTTTAAAGTCTATAAAATGGGGAAAATATATCTACCTCATAGTATTCCACTGGATTAAATGAGATAATGTTTACAAATGATTTAGCTCAGAGCCTGTAACATAGTAAATCTTTATCAAGTATTATCTATAGTTGTGAATTCGAAAATGTAATCAATTATACTGTATCTTTACTAACACATTTCAGCAGACTGTTGTTTATTCTTCTCTGTCAATATTCCTCTCTAAAGCCTAGCTCCGCCCAGTTCAATGCACATGGAAGATCATCTGAAAGCGAGAAAGTCCTTGAGGTTATTCCATATTTTGTTGTTATTGTTCCTCCTATTTATTGTATTTCCTCTTATAATTTTTACCGATTTCTGCAAAATGAAACCAGAAGAGATGGCTGGGTCTCTGGTAATGCAGTACAGGAGAATATCAGGATAAAACACCAAACAATAATATATTAAGTTTATTATTATTGTGACATATTTCTTTGGTTAATAACCAGAAATATTTGTTTTGAAGAAAATTAATGAATAAAGGGAGCAACTCATTAATACAAAAATTTTATAACTATTTGAGATTTTCCTCCTGTTTATCTTAGGGTGATGAAATGAAGAAATTGGGAATACAGCCTATTCCTATGATGGACAGAGACAAGAAGAATGAAGTCCCACAAGGCCAGGTATGTATTATGAAAGTCAAATTGCTATTGTTAAAGTCAAATAGTGTTCAAGACGGTCATAAAATCATACGTGAATAGAAATCATATCCATCTTTTGTTTGGTTTCAGGGAATGGGTCATTCCCATTCTGGTGATTTTTTAAAAAATTTTTTTAATTTGGGGGATGTGGTTGCTGGTAAGGGGATCCAAACCCTTGACCTTGGTGTTATCAGCACCACACTCTAACCAAGTGAGCTAATCGACCAGGCTCCCAGGTCTGGTGATTAAGGTAGAAACTTTATCAATTTATCCTATAGGGGCTGCTAAGACACTCTTAGGTATCTCATTTGTGTGATGAGAGTACATTCTAGAAGAGTTTGTGAGTCTGGTCAAGATGGCAGAATAGAAGGTTCCCAGTGTCACTGTCTCCCACAAATCAACCAATTTACAACTATAAAAATGTAACATCAGCCAACCTGGGGCTGCTGGAGCTCAGGGGAAGAGGAGAGACCTATGGAGTTCATGAAGGTGGGAGAAGCCACGATGAGAGGAAGAAAAAATTGCTCTGAGCATTTCAGGCCAAGGCCACTTTAAGGCTGGAGCTGCTGAGCGCATGGAGCAGGAGCCAGCAGAAGCCACAGCTGTGCTTGTCAGGTGGAGTTGCTTGGAGGTGGCAGGGGAGAGGAGGGCCTTGGCAGCCCCCAGGACAGCAAGACCACTAATAGGGTTCACGTGGACCCACGCAGGAGTGAGGAGCCAGAATAGCTGTAAAAAGGGAGTCATTCAAAGACCGGTGAGTCATTGCAAGGGACCAGCACAGGGCCCATCCCATGGGAAGAGTTTGGAGCATGGGCAGTGGGGGAGACAGGCCCACTGGGGGAACACTGAGACATAGCAAGGACAGCCTATCTGCCCCCCAATCAGTGCAGGACCACTCAGAGGAGACTGCTCGCGAATGCAGAACTACATGGGGTGCAGTTTGATGAAAAAACTCAGGCCCAAATTAGAGTTTCTGTACAACCCTGATCCACTGGGTCTCTGGAGAACCGGAAGTACCTATAAGGTCAAGCAGTAAACACTGAGCTGCACAAAAAGCCTTCCCTAGGGAAAGAGCAGCAAAGCAGCAATTTAGCTTATCCACACAGCTCAAGTACTGGTTCCCACAGGAGGTTCCCCCATTTTAGAAGTAAGCAAAGGACAAAAACTTAGTTCTGGCCCAGCCATACCACGAGGACCTTGGGGCCCGGCCCGCCTTGGAACTGGAGACTTGGAGCCAGGGACCAGCCCCCACCCCCACATCCAGGTACACCGCGCCAGCATCTCAGGGCTCACCCAGGGACCTCAGTCATAGAGAAGGAGACCAGACCCCCTGCACACAACCAAGCACACCATGCCAGTGACTCAGGGCCCGCCAGGGGACCTGAGGTATGTAGAAGGGGACCGGACCCCCTCTCCCACAATCAGGCACACAGCCAGCACCTTTTGGCCCCTCCTGGGGGCCCAGGGCTTGGATCCAGGACCTGGACCCCCCTCCCACAACCAGCCCCACTGTGCCAGCACCTTGGAGCCTGCCTGGGGACCCAAGGCATAGAGAAAGGGCCTGGAGCCCCCTCCCACAACCAGGCACACCACACCAGCACCTCAGGGCCCATCTGGGGACCTGAGTCATGGAGCTGGGGACCTGACCCTGCCCACAACCAGGCACACCACCAGTGTCTTGTGACCCCACCCAGGGACCCAGGGCTTGGAGCTAGGGACCAGACCCCCCTCCCACAACCAGCCACACTTTGCCAGTGCCTCAAGGCTGACCTGAGGCATGGAGAAGGGGACTGGACCCCCCCTGCCACAACCAGGCACACGGTACCAGTGCCTCGGGGCCCACCCAGGGACCCAGGCATGGAGCCAGAGAACAGACACATCCCACAGCCAGGCACACTGCCAGCACCAAGGAGCATGCCAAAAATATCACCTCCATGTGAGTGGCCCACCACAGCCACCACAATAACCATGGCTGCTGCAAAAATGGCTAGATGACACAACCACCACACAGATGGTCCGCCAGCGCTGGAATGCATTGACACAAGGACAGTCACCAGCAGAGATAGAAAAGAAGAGGATGTCTCTCTCCACAAAGCCCATTTCAGAGTTACAGAAGAAGCATCTGCTCTACAATAATATTGGGGGACCTGATCACACCTCTCAGCATTGGACAGATCATCTAGGCAACAAATCAACAGAGTAACCATTATTCTATCAGAAGGAGAGAAGAAATCTAGGGTAATTAGAAGGGGGGATGGGGAGAGAGAGGGGGATGGGGAGAGATTGGACAAGGGGCATAAAGAATAATCATGATTTTTAACAATATATATGCTAGTAATATTGATTTGATCAACATATCTCAGTGTTGAACCCCCAAAATATATATAATCAATTTTGAGTCAATAAATAAAATAAATTAAAATAAAATTAAATAAATAGAAACAATAAATAAATTAATTAAATAAAAGGGTTTGTACTTTTAATCTGGGTTTGAGGGCCAACTCAAACCTCTGATTTTGTTCCCAGTGCTGCAAACCTAAAAAAGAAACCTTGAGGGTATGGCTGTATTGTTGGCTGGGAGGATTTAGTTCTCAGTGGTCAGAACCTAGAACCTTCTTCATTCAGAAGGAGTTTGGGAATAGTAAGACCAAGGTTAGGAAATCCTCAGTGGATTTAAAGAATTCACAGCTGTCCTTGCCATCACTTTTTTCTACTGATATGATTGCATTAAGTGGGCTTTCTTTTCTGACTTCAAAAAGATGGGATGGCTGAATTTGAATTGTTAATAATTTTAACAAGCAGAAAATATTTTGTCATTGGCTATACAAAAATGTTTTCTGGAGAGTAACATAGATTTTGAGTCAGGTCCATTTTTTTCTAACAGATAATGCTTAATATTTCAGAACATTTTGAGACTCGTCTCAGCATAAATTGACATTAACTATTCTTTTTCCAGGACTTACTATATAATTTATGTTAATTTTTTTAACATTTTGAGAGTTCTTATTCCCTGTTACTTTTGCATGGTGTATGTGTGGTGTGATTAATTATTTCTTAATTACAGATCATAGTCTTCTTAAACCACCAATCTTCTAATGGCATAATGAGGAAGTTAGTTATGGACAAATGATTATAGTATAGAATTTGTTTAGAAAACATTTTTAAACATTTACAAGATGAGATGATGGTTTTAGATATGTTCTCAAATTTTCCTACTTTATTTAAAGTTTATTCATACTGAAGTTTAGAAAAGTCTACAGCTCGTAGAGGGCACCAGCACATCAAAGAGGTTGAATACTTTGCTCATGGTCATTGCCTCCACTCGTGTCCCTAGCTAGTTTTTTTTTTTGATGAGATGCTCATTTTTTCTTCTTTATTTAAAAGTGAATCTGACATACCTATCATGCATGCTACAAATACACAGATGCTCCTGCATTTACAGTGGGGTTACTTCTGATAAACCCATTTATAAGTTGAAAATAGTGTAAGTCAAAAATGCATTCAGTACATCTAACTTACAAAACATCATAGCTTAGCTTAGCCTACCCTACCTTAAACATGCACAGAACATCTGCATTAGCCTGCAGTTGGGCAAAATCTTCGAATACAAAGCCTATTTTATAATAAAGTGTTGACTATCTTATGTAATGTATTGAATACTATCCTGAAAGTGAAAAACAGAATGGTTGTATGGGCACTCGAGGTACGGTTTCTACTGAATGTGTTGCTTTTGCGCATAAAGTCAAAAAACCCTAAGCTGAACCATTGTAAATCAGGAACCGTCTATTTTGTAGTTCAACTAAATTTTAACATTGTTTATGGAACTTTTCTAAATATGGAGTCACAGCTATTAGTCTTTCCTATCAGTTTTCTGCTTTTCATGTCATATTTTAAAAGTCCTTTCCCACTCTGAGGTTATTTAATTATTTGTTTATATTTTCATGAGTTACTTTTTTTGTTTCATTACTTTACATTGATTTGTTAATTCATTTGGAATTTATTTTCTTATATGATTTAAAATAGGCATCTAACATTTTTTTCTTTCCAAGTATTTCAACAGCCGTCCCAACAGAATGTATAGGATAGCTGAAAATTTCTCACTAATACTGTCAGAGTATGGGTTCTGTTCTAGTTTTTAATTAAGGTAATAGTTTGTGTCTTGCCAAAACTCCAAGTTCATTTGATCAGCTAATATTTTACCAACTATACTACTCTAAATTGTTGATTACTATGAAATTATTCTTTGCCATAATAACGAAATGTCTACTTTCCAATAACTAATCTCTTTCTTGGAATCTTCTGCCCCATGACATCTGCTCAATATTAGAATAAGAAAATCTCTGCGTGAATCATAAAGTTAAAAATGGAAACGCACAGGCATTATTTTAGTAAGATTGCTGTGGTGAAAGACTTAGGAGAAAACTAAAAGTGACCATGTAGATTTGATCATTCTGCATCCTTTGATGCATCTCATTGCAATTCAGGTTTTTAATGAACTTGGTAAGCTGTGGTTTTGGGGGGTCACCTCATCCAGGCAGTCAATTTTATCTTGCACATATTATTAACCACTTGGCAGTTATTTATTGATAGGTAGACAATCTGTGTTCTCTGGCTAATCATCTGGTAGCAGGCCAGTCTGAGGTAGTATCATTTATTTTCACAGTGGCCTAGAATTCCTAATAAAGTGTTCTTTAATATTTTTTTAAAGTAATACAGACTTTAAAACTGTGACATCTAATGCATTGAGAGAATGATAACCTGAGAGAGCTATGAGAAAATCAGTGGCGTTTGTTGTAGGTCTAAAAAAGGGGTGGGAGGATGCATAAAATATGAAGAGACCAAGGAAGGTACCAAAGCCAAGGGCAGAAGACAGCCAGACAGAACACACCGTAGGAATTCCTGAACGCGAAGTCAGAAGAGAGTCACACATAGAGAAGAAAAGCCAGTTTGATATTTAAATGTCTATGGTAGAGCACGAAATTTGACCAGAAATAAGAACAGGACTTTAGTTATAACTTCACTGATCTATAGAATCTCATTTAATGCACGTGGGTTTTACATGTCAATAGGTATTAACTTTATAATGTGTATTAAATTTTTGTTTTATTTCTAGAATGTATTTTAACACACTTTAAAATGCATTCTACAATAGTATTCATTTGAGCCCAAATATCACATACAGCAAAACTAGAACATTTCATTTTATAGCTAGACTTCAGAAACAGGAAATTCACTTAAGAAATATAAGTACTACTAGAGTTGCTAATGTTCAATTTTGTTTCTCTTCCATGATTTCTGTACCGCGGCAGCTCGGATTCTACAATGCGGTAGCCATTCCCTGCTATACCACCCTGACCCAGATCCTCCCTCCCACCAAGCCTCTCCTTAAAGCATGCAGGTATGTACACTGTGCTGTAATGTTATTTTTTAAAAAACCTAAGACTCTGTATATGATTTTTTACTCCATCAACATGCATATGTGTCTTATCTACAGTATACCATAAATATAATTTTATGTGCTATGTGTTTGCTTAGATATCAGGTTGTCGTGTTCAAGGGTCTCAGGTGGTCCTAGTTAACCAGCTTCCATGGGAGCAACTTCTCCCCTTCTGTCTGATTCTTATCAAAGATGAGTTGTCGCCACCATCTGATGCTCAAGCAGTTTGTTCTGGCAGTGCTCTTACAAGACAGAGGGCGGGAGCAGGTGGGAACCCACCTGACCTGGAGGGTCTCCGTCCAGTGACTATTTTCAGAGTTCGGGAGATCTTTGCTCCTTTCTTAAACCTGTATTCAGTCTGGGTCGGTTACCAGGTGTCTCTTTCAGAAAGGGGTTTAAGTTGTTCTTATAAGAGTGCCTTTTGCTATAAGGTTCATGAGAGGTGCATCTTTGCTGAGGGGTCCTTGTCTGCTGGAAATCCCCAGGCTAGATGGTAACATACTGCTAAGTGACACCTGGCGTCTGTCCTGCGAGATGCTGGAGTGGGCCTTATGGCGATCATTGATCTCAAGGCCAGGGTGTGTCTCTTAAACAGTATACTACGTAAGTACTTGTATATGTGAAGAGTATTTATTCAAAGTCACTCATTCACCAAAAAGGAATGAAAAGGTCTTTTTGTTTTTGTTTAATGCAGATGTTTCCCATTTAGTACAGTTTTCAGAAAGACAGGACAGCAATGTCTGTTCAGGGGTGCTTATTAGGAAAGGGGCTCAACTTAAATTACATAGTTTATTGCTTAAATGCAAGAGAGAGGAAACTTGAATGGGGATCCCCTCCGCTTTAAGGGTTTTTTTTTTTTTTTTTAATTTCTAAGCAGAAGTAGAAGCCATCTGTTACCTGTTCTAGCTTTAGATTTCTCCCTGTCCTTTCCTCATCTTTTTTGAGGACTGAACTCAGTTAAGAACATTGGAATTTTAAAAATATTTCTATTTTACTTTTAAAAGAAGTTCCCTCTGAGGAAGGCAAAGGGCGACGGCCAAGCAGCTGTGTGTGTGAGTTCTCTTGGTGAATTGTTTCTAACTAGCCATAACCAAACGTGGGGGTTGGAGGAGATGCTCCATGGGAGGACAGAGGACAGACATTTGGCCAGATAGCTTTAAACAAAACCAAAAACCTAAAGAGTGTTTTCCCATTCTCTGCTGTTGAATCTTATTTTATGGGCTGTTTCTAAAAGGAAAACAAAACCAACAAGCAAGAACATTAAAAAAAAATCTTGTCTTTTTCCTGTTTAAAAAATGGTTCTGTTTCCTCTCTACTCCTGTGGAGATAAATGTAACATCCCAGCTTGTTTTGTTGAGCCTTAACTGACTTTAATTAGTGGTTAGTTTATTAAAATCTTATCTTATTACATGAGGGTTAAGCCATAATGGACAATGTGGAGTGTGAGCTAGGACTCATTCTTGCTGGAATTAGGTTGTAAAAGGCAATGCACCATTAAAGAGAAATTAGAATATCAATTTAAATCCAAATATGTTAAAAAAAATCCTAAGCAATATTCAAAGGTCATTACATATTCAAAAACTCTCTGTGTTTTATGCTAAATATTTCTAAACCAGCAGAATAAATGCTTACTATGATTATCAAGCATGGGAATAGGTTATTGATGTACTTCACTTTGAAAGCTCTGAGGATATGGTGTCCAGCTCTTCTGGCATGTTTGATGCATTGCTGCTTCAGTATACTGGACTGAACCACACAATCACTTAAAGGCTATTTAAATTTTATTAACTTAAGAAATTTATCATGTATCATTGGTATTCAAGGGAACATACCAAAATTAGTGTGTGCCTTTTACCAATACATCAGAAAATCTCTAGGATCTCGAAATTGATACCTGATGATATGGTATAAAAGTTAAAAGCATTATACTTTTCAGTTTATATTTTAGGGATTTCTTCTGTCCAAAGTTGTCTTAGCATATTTGGTAAAAGGAATTTGGGGGAAGAATTTTAAAATTGTGTTTTGTATGAATTTTGTGTTTGCCAATGCCAAGGTTCCCTTCTGATTCTGACTTTGCATATAAGAAAGCAGTGCTGACAGGAGCCCTGCCAGGTCAGCCGTGCCAAGCAAGGTGGTGGCTGTGCAGTGGTGTTGATCACACCATTGAAGATGACGACGGTGCCTGTGACATTTGAACTAAAAATATTGAGAGAGATTAGAGGAGTGGGGGAGAAGTGAGGCTGTGCTTCAGATGCGAGATCACCAGAACACAAATACGGTTTTATTGTAACAAGGACATTTCAAAAGTTTTGCCAGGTGTAACTTAAGATGACTGTATATATGACACAGTGTTCAAAATAAGGACACTCCCCAGCTTCAAGTGTCACGTGGTAGGGTTTACAAAGGCCTCCTGGGAGCCTCACTGTTCCCACCCCTCCGCATGTGAAGCCTCTGGCCGTTCATGCTGTTCCTGAATGTTCTTGCTGCTCTGTGCCTTCCTTCCTTGCTGTTTATCCTGCGTATTCCTCAGCAGTAAGTCCTAGGGGCATTCCCAGTTCAAGTTGATCCTTATAACTGATTAAGAAATGACATATCCTGAGCCCCAGCATTGCTTTTTGCCTTTGCAGTCTGGAGCTGATGGGACAAGGAGCCCCTGATGCTTTCTTTGGTGGCTCTTACGCTCTTTCTTGAGGAAACATCTTGCAAGCCTGCCTGACCGCATCACTCTGGTTTTTGTCAGTCAGAAAGGCACCGCAAAAAGCCATTATGCTTAGTTACAACATAGGACTGTTGGTTAATTTTTGAGACGGAGTTCAGAAATGCTTTTCTAAACTTTGCCTGTAACTGCATCTTTTATCCCTAGGGATAATCTTAGTCAGTGGGAGAAGGTGATTCGCGGGGAGGAGAGTGCGGTATGGATCTCGTCCCCATCCGCGGCCCAAGGGACCTCTGAGAAGCTGCCTGTTAAGATCGATCATTGACCGGCGCAGACATGCCGTCCAGCCTCAAGATTCCCATCTTGCTTCTTTGACTTTTTTTCCTTTTATTTTTGTGGGGGGGAAAACCTTCACCTGGTAACTGGGGTGCAGACCTCTCCAAGAAGGTACATCAAGTAAATATGTGAAGTCCCGCTGGTCTCATGTGTAGTGTGTCCCAGACAGTAAACAACAGGACCCCCATGTGCAGAAGCCAGCTGGCCAGGTGATTCCATTTGACTTGCAAACTGGCCTTTCCTGACAGGCTGGTTTGCTGAGGCCTTCTGGAAATGGACAGAAATTACTGAGAAGGGTACTTTCCGTTATGTCTTTCTAGTGAGGGTTGAAATGGTACTATGGTGGTATTGTACTTTGGATTAACACAGTGTTGCTTTGATGTTGTTGGCTATAAATAGGAATTTTACACATTACTGTTGTGAGTGTTCACGTGTGACCTACTTGTGATTAACTCGAATTGTAGCCCACAGCCTCGGAACTAGTGCCACTGAGGCTGCAGAGGAAGAAGTGATGGGGAGTCAGCTCCCCACGTCAGAGCTTTCTGAATTTAGTTAGGCAGATCACAGTATATTCTTTACACTAAAGACTAAGGGAAAGTAGACTTTCTGTCCTTTTGAGAAGAGATACAGTTGTACATCACAGTAAGTTTCATAACTTCAAAATTCATTCAAAGGATGTCAAAGAGTCATTTAAAAATTGTTTCTTTTTTTTTAGTCTTGGCGAATTTACTGAACCCTTTGCATAAAAAAACAAAATAAAAGAAAGGCATGTAAATTTTTTTAACGTACAAATGTGAATTTTTAATAATGATTTCTTTATATTTTCACTTTGACCATTGCAAAATTTCAGACTCACATTCAAAATGGAAGTTTTATTCTAAAAATTATTTAATTAAAGTGCCATAATTTTTCTTAAATGCGAATTAGTCCATAAAATATAGGTCTTCTGTAATTTTACTTTGATCTGCTACGTTCATCTCCCATTGGATCCTTATGCTCTGAAATTATATTTCATAAGCTTTATGTCCATGGCATGGAAGTTGAAGAAGGTGGCAGTGCAGTCACATTGCTCCACATTTCTGTTCCCTTGACCCTTCTCACAGATCAGGTATCTACATAGAAACCTGTGGTTTAGATAGTTTCTTCCATACAACTTATGGTTGACTAACATTACTGCGCAATGTACATTTTTTGAAAAATACAAAAGTAATACTCTGGACCCCTTCCTACAAATATTATAAGGCAATTACTTCTGGTGCATATTTATACTTTAAATTTAGATTTTTTAGCACAATGGCACAGTAGCCTCCAGACCTGTGATTCGCTCTAACCCGAAGGAATTAGAGTCTCAGGAGTGACAGTCCAATCCATAACAAAAAGCTTAGTCACTAGTCACATGGCAGGAAACTAGAATAAGCCTTTTAACATAATAAAGTTTTAGCATATGCTTCTACACATTCAATACTTTCCATGTTGTTGTTCATATGAGCTGGGTTCTGCACAATTAAATTAGAGGTTTTTACAACATGGTTTATTTATGTTGTAGTGAAGTTGGCTATAGATAAACATTGTTCTTATTTTAAAGTTAACACTACGTGTTCAGTTTCCTTATGGCCTGCTGAAAGTTGCCACCTTCCCTACATGGAGCTCCATCTGCAATTGTAATTATACAGTATGAAGTAAAATGTAATGACTAAAGAGAGAGGAATACCACTGTGGCTAGATACACACACAAACCTGTATGTGTGGATGTAATGCATGAAGACACACACTCACATAGATGTATATATGATACACACTCATATGTATGTATGCAGACATACACACGTGTATATATATTATATACACACATGTATATATGAGAGAGAGAAGGAGAGAGAAGCAAACATGTATGAAAAGTAAACATCAGCCCCATTCGTCAAAAGTGGTGCTTTTTTTATGTTGGAAAACGTATATTATTACTTGATAAGGAACTGAGAAAATGCCATTTTTCATGTTATTGTATGCACAGAACTGAGTTCTAAAAAGTTGCATAATTTTCTGCATACAAATTTGTGCAACTGGATACCACGGAATACAGTTTTAATCACAAAAATTTATTTAGTCATTTAATTTAACTTGGAGATTGAATTGCAGAAGGGGGGGAATACCGTTTAAGATTCTTGTTTAACTTAAAGGATTTTAAAGGAATTCATTAATTTTGCCTCTTGATATAGAAAACAGTAATGGGGTGAGAATCTCATGGTTATTTTTGCATTTTATGGTTGCTGTTCTGATAATAGTATTACAGAAAATTCTCTTGATTTGATATAGCCACGTATATAATGTTGTGTGACCTCTACTTTGAACAGTTTTCCAAAGAAATGTGTATGGGTTTATTGGTTGGTGGATTTCTTGTGAAATATTGTCATAATAGAAACACAGTTTGAACAAACAACTATATTTTGACATAACTGTTAACATTGCTTTTACCAAGTTTAAGATTTACACAGGAATCATAAATTTACCTAAAATAACAGGACCCCAGATGCAATGATATTTAGTTAATAATTTGTTTTGGAAAACATGCAGTCAGGAGATTTTTTGTATTTTGGCAGATATGTTTAGCATGCAAATTTTTTTGCGTTCTGTTTCTCAACTTTTCCCCAGATCTTTGCTTAAAAAAATAATATGAGAAGCCAGGCAGATGTTTTTATTATCAGATCTTTTGATAAGTTTCTCATTAAGATGGTATTTAATATTGAGCCAAATTTCCCTGTCCAGTATAAATTTGATAACCAGCTATGATTATATATAGAATGTTTGATTTACAAAAATTTATATTGGTTATGTTGATTTATGCATAATAGACAAGTTTTATGGTTACATGCAGTTATTCCATTATATTTCCACACTTCATGAATGTACTTTTTTAACTAGAAATGTTCTTGGAATATAAATGCATGCCAACAACAACATAAAATATTGAACTTGGGCAGTGGAATAAAATCCTTAAAAAATGCAAGCATCTTATTAATTAGTAATTGATTCTAAGAATTAATTAGAAAAACTTTTTTAAAAAATACAATGGATGTGGAAACTAATTCTCAAAAATGGCCCTTTTGCTAGGGTAGGGATTGTGATCCATTACCTGGCTTTTTAGTTGCAAGAAGCATATGAGAAACCAATCTTAAAAAAGCAGCCACGTTGAAATATTAGACACCATTGTCTTCATTCCTGACTCTTCTGCACTGGAAATGGATTTGTGTAGACAATTACAGTGTGCTCCAAGTGGCTGCTTCTCACAGCAACAAATGCAGTTCATTTGAAACTAGATTTGTTCAGTATAGGTTTCCTCTTTTTCGCATGCTTTTTAGATAGTTTTAATTTTGTACAATCTCAGTGAATTTTGCTTTATTGGTATGTTCATGTACACTAGATATGTTTGTACAGGATACACACAGATCTTTATATACCTGCCTTTTTAAATAGAGTTAGATTTGGATATTGTGTTCCTGGTCTTTTAACTCAAAATTAAGATTTGAGCTTTAATAGGACTAAATGATTCACCATGCCTTGGCCTGTGCCTTTATTTTAAACACTGTAATTTTTCTTCTTCATTCACATATTCATTATTTTGCTTTTCTTGCTTAATTGAAAACATTTAAAGGACACATCTTTGCTTAATGTTATCAAGTTAAATGAGTAGGACCATCCTCTCTTCATCTGATTTCTTTCCTTCATTTGACTTGATTGACCTACACCCTGGTGACTATAACCAATGAACTGTTCAGATTCACTCGGTCTTGCAAAGACTTCCAAGAACTGTGACACTGATTGTGATGTGATTTTCTTGGGTTTCAGGTACGTAAGCATGATTTAGATGCTGAAAATCACTTCTTTATATATTTTCAAACATGTGTTTGCTTTCTATACTTTGCTGATTTTATTTAGGGTTTAATTCTTTAAAGACTTTATTCATTTAGTCACTTCAGTGTATCCCTCCTATTGCAAGTATTATTCTGATTTAAAAATCACTGTAAATGTAAATTAGCCAAATACGCTATCAGTTGTGTTTCCCCATGCTTGTCAGTGCATGGCTGTTGTATTTTTACATGTGCAAAGTATCCTGATACAAATATGTTGACTTCTTTAAAAATTTATATTAAGTTTAAATTAGTGATACCCAATGCAATATACACTTTTTGTTGTTATTTTTTGTCTTTTTAAAAAACTGGATATTTTGGTTGTCTAAGCATTGGATGTATTGCATTGTGTGTGAAGACAAAAATAGCAAAAAAGAAAGAAAAAATGTTTCAACAGTGTTCTTGTTTCAAATTAAGAAGATACAACAAAGAGAAAGACTTTAGTGTTTCCCAACAAACACGTTTAAAATCCAAAGAAGCATTACTATCTTCACTTGATTTTTCTTTTCTCAACCCAACAGTGAAAAGTAGTATTTTATAAGTTGTGCATAGTCTGCCTGCTCTTTACTGCAAGTATGAGAAAACTAACTGAAAGCATGCAGACCGGCATGGTTCTGCAAGTGCACAGAATAATGTCACTAAGGACCGAGGCAGAAACTTACAGCCAAGTCCAGAGTTTGCCAGATAGGGAAGTTGGTTTACATTTTTCAATTCCTAGCTAATATTTTTGAAGTACTGTATATTTGCAGAAGTTTAAGTGGACAATTTGTATTCCTATCGTAAGTTGTTTTAAAAGTATTATCTAATACTCTAGCCCACCTAAAATGTCCATATATCATGGGCATTGCAACCTTTGTTTATTCCTTCAGTCACCTTAATACCCAGTCCGATACTGTATCTCAAATAGCCTATATAAATGAAATATGGGAATATTATTTTCCATATGACATGTTGTATGGTGTATATGCTGTGTATTCATTTAGTGTGCAAGTTGAAAGTACAATAGATTTATCTATAGAAGGTATTTCTATATGATGCCCCTACCTATTTGAAATTATGTGCTTGCCCAAAACACTGTGAAACAGTTACCAAAATTTGTACAAATGGCAGTATCTTGACTCTTTCTAAGAAGGAAAGATGACTTTCTTTACCTGAACATATGAGCAAAAGACATAACTATATCCATACCTGACTAAGACATGTAAGAGTTTTCTGATGATCATCTACTTGCTGACCAAACACTGCTGGAGTGTAATGCAGGTTATGTGTTATCAAAAATACAATGCTTATAATAAACTGGTTTGTAGAGTCAGTGGATGTGTATTCCAAGTTTTGAGAGGCTCTCTTTTGGATGAAGAAAGAATTTCAAGCTAACCATATCCAACTTTATTATAGTTGATGAGTTAGTAAATTTTAAAAAATGATTTTATATGTATGACATATAAAAATCTTTGTAAAATGCGCAAGTGCAATAATTTAAAGAGGTCTTAACTTTGCATTTATAAATTA